CGGTGCGCGGGCTGTCAGCGGACGGCGACGCAGGCGGACTGGAATCGCCTGGTGATGGTGACCCGGCGGTGTCCGTGGTGTGGACACGAGGTGCGGCCGGACTTCCGGCTCTAAGCCCGGGCAGGGTGGGACCACAACTGGGGGAGTGGGGAAAAGGGAACCTCTCTCTCTCTGTATATATATATGCATGTATATCTATATCTATATCTATATATATCGATATATATGCGTGTGTGGGACAAGAGGGGCGAACAGTCCACGTGAGAGAACGTGGGAATGCCCGTGGGAGGCAAGGGAAGAGGGCAAGCAAAACCATAAAGGAAGGGAAAGGTGCGTCCGCAGCGCACCGGGTCTCAAAAAGCGTTTTACCGGAAAGGCAGCTGAGAAGGAGGGGGGAGAGGGAGAAGATCGGGTAATACCCCTCCTGGTTTCAGACGGCACCTTTGGGCTTCGGTATGTGTTTGTTTCACCCGGTTTTAGCGGAGTACCCTGGATTTAAAGGAACTCTGGGAGTGCATCAAAAGATGGGGCATACGTGAATGCATGCCGCTTGCTGTTTGTGAATAAAGGTGTATTTTTAGACAAAAAGGGGAGTAAAATGAAGAAAAAAATAGACTATGAAGCCGCGTTTGATCGAAGAATGGTGCAGTACTTGTTTTCGATTATTCTTCTAGAGTTCATGTTCGCCGAGTTTCGTTTATGCTACCCGAGGTCTTTGCCTTTTCTCTTATTCTCCATTTCTCGATGCAAATTATATGGAAATGAGCACAGGTAAAAACGCTAGATGTTTCATATGGTTTGTTTATCGAGTTGTTCGTCAAAGGAGAGATAGATGGTCTGTATTTTTAACTCATTATTCGTCTTCATTATGTCGCTTACAGTTAGCGCTAGAGAAAGGATGGAAGGGCAGAAAGATGGGCGGCGCCAAAAAAAAAAGGAGGATATGTGTAAGTAATGCGTAAATCAGTGGTGTTGGTCTTTTCTAAATGTTTATTCTTTTTTTTAGCGATGTAAATTAAAATTAGTAAATGTGCTTACTGATATTTTCAGATTACACAATCTGAAAATTATTTTAATACGAACATCCTGCAGACACACACGCTGAAAAGGTTTTTTTTTCGGAGAACAAGAAAGCAAGTTCAATTCCTTGGAAAGCGGAACTGTAAATTCACTGGGAAAAAATCTTTCCCCGAGAATGTGTTGGCGCATCTCGATCTCTGTGCATGCCCTCTTACCATGAATTAGGACTCTTATTGTGTTTTATTCATATTTATTCTCTAAAATCCACAGTTCTAGCTGACAAATATAAATTGAACAAAGGGACCTTATTGTCCTTCTAGGCTGTAGGTAGTAAGTAGAAAGCGCCAGGGGTGTAGAGGGCTTACTTTCGGTAAGCGCAAAATAGTTTTTTTATAGGAGCACTTTTTTTCATTATAGCACTAACTCAGGCATTATAATATTCTTATTACTAGTCTTTTTTCCTCAACATCATTTTAGAATCTTGTATTTATTTAATTTTGGAGAATAGATACTATAGCGGAAAGTATGGTTCGATATGCGCAACGTCCGTGGTATAACCCTCTGGGGTATATGGCTGCCTCGCCCGCCGCCTATGTTTCAATGGTATTTATGATAAGTCTAACGGCGGTATGGCCCTTTCGGTATCGTATTTCAGAGTACTTTGAACGTCAACGGGCAGGACCTCACGTCGAGATCCGTCAAAAGGCGGTGATGTATTACAATGAAATCGAACGTATGCATCGTCGCCAGGCGATGGTGAATCAGGAGAACTTGCAGAACGATAACAGCGGGCAGCGGCTGCAGGCTGCGATGGTGGCTGAGGCTTTGAAGATGGGGCACGCTGACCAGGAGTATAATTACTGGTACGCGCATCAGCGGGATGCGATACGTGCGGAGAAGCTGCTATTGGAAATTGAGGAGTTAAAGAGGAAGATTGCGTCTGAAAAGAGGAAGTAAAGTTGCTTATTCTCTTTCTTTCTTTCCATTCTGCTTCCTTACTCTTTGTTTAGTTGAGGTCAATCTCCCCCTTTTCGTATAGTTTGTGCTGCTTTTGGGAAGGCAAGCCCCTTTTTTCCCCTTTGTCCATCCACTTTTTCTTCAAGCTATACTGCGCTTTTGAAGGTATTGCAGATAACTTTGCATTATGCGAACTTGATTCTTCCCTTTCTCTGCAGTCTGAAGGAAAAAAGGGTGCATCTGCATTAACAGCAATGTACTTCTTGACAAGCAAACATTTAATGATTCGGTGTCTAGGCTCAGGTGCTAGGGAGCAGAACGACATGTGTGTAGGGAAAAAGTCATCTGATTCTTTTACGCTTCCTATTGCGTTTTTTATTCCCTCTGTTCCCTTATTATTCCCTTCTTCTTTCTTTGAACCCTAGATGTAATGCACAAAGCAATACGATAGCTGCTGAAAGGGATACTTGGCAGTGGCGAGACGCAGCGTTTTCACATGAAGGTTAGCGCCTTAAGGAGTAAAGGAGACGGGTCTTCCCTTTTCCTTTCATTTTACAGAATCCGCAACAGCTAGACAATGCCTTTGCAGAACCAGTTTTATCATCGTTATTGTGCTAGAAATGCGGAAAAATCATGCACTGAATTTATAACGTTAACCCATTTGCATGCCCTTTTTGTTGGTTTACAAAAATTAAACTATGGAGTCCTGGTGTCTGCCGCTTCCACTACTATTGCTTTGACCTCAAGTGAACTTAACGGTTCCTACTGCCTTCTACATCATTCATAGTAACCGTTCTGAACTCTCTCCGTACACGGTTAAGTACTATCTATAGTTTCTCTTCTACGCTAGCGCGACGAAAGGCAAGCCATGACGTGCCATAACGATCTTATTAGAGCATGACGTTATGCTCAGTAAGCTTAAGAGGCTGCTTAAAGCGATAGATATCTTGGAAAGTGCCCTGCTAATCGGGAAAAAAATCGACAACAACACCAACTTCAAGAAAGCACTACTCGAGTACAGTGGTAAGCACATGGCCTTTGTAATCTGCTATAGTTAAGATGCTTTTAACATTATTGTTATTTTTTATCATTGTTATTTTGTATAATGTCAAATGTTATCATACCTTTTAAGTACGTCTTGCTGCTTAGATTACTACACAATTCACATATGTATGTAAACGCTCGCTGATTTACCTGGATTAGAGCTGCACCCCCTTAAATATAAGGAGGATAGTATCCAAGGACAGAAGCCCATGCTATTATTCTTTTCACCTCGATTTTTCTACCTGTTTGACCTCCCTTCGTTAATTTTATTCATTCCTAGGAGGCTATGCCAGACGAAGTGGAAAATCAAGCTAATAAAATAATACAAAAGCACGGGTAGGGTACTGGCTACACGTGCATCCATACCCATAACTTTACTCATACACACAAGCATAAAGAATAGAGAGCGACAAGGGATACATTTTCTACTTGTTGAATCCTAATAGAATTTCTTTATAATCAACCGATTACGAAAAATATTGCAAAGACTACCCAACTTTGTACGGACTCTTGGGTGTCTCGTCCTCTTTTTGGCAGTTAAACTCACATACACACACATACACACACGCCCCTTTGCTTTATTGGTTATTTCAACCGGCAGAAGTTGGTGCTGTAGATTCCATCCCAATAAAGGTTCCTAGACCACATCGTCCTTTAGTTTTTTCTTTCCTCATTGCTCAATTTTAGCGTGTACGCGTTTTGGCGCATGCCTCGTGAAATTATAACCGTACAGGTGGGGCAATGTGGTAACCAGCTCGGCATGCGTTGGTGGGATGTGATGCTGCAGGAGCACAAGGCGAACTCGCATTACCCCGACGCGCGGGATTCCCTTTTCCACGCGAACGAGCGCCCAGGCGGTGGCGTTGATCTCAAGGCGCGCTGCGTTGCTATTGACATGGAGGAGTCCGTGTTGGCAGCGATGCTGCGCGGCCCCCTGAGAGGGATGTTTGATAGCAATTTCTTCGTCTCCGACGTGAGCGGGGCGGGCAATAACTGGGCGGTAGGCCATATGGAGTACGGCGACAAGTACCTCGACGCCATCACGGAGTCCGTTCGTGCCCAGGTGGAGGCCTGCGATTGCATTCAATGCTTTTTCGTGATGCACTCGATGAGCGGGGGGACGGGGTCCGGGCTCGGGACGCGCGTGCTCGGCATGCTCGACGAGGAGTTTCCGGGGATTTACCGCATCTGCCCCGTCGTCTTTCCGTCGCGCGTGGATGACGTCGTAACGGCGCCGTACAACAGCTGTTTCGCGCTAAAAGAGCTGTTGGAGCACGCGGATTGCGTGTTGCCGTTAGACAACGACGCCCTCGCGCGGATGGCGGATCGCGCGTTGGGGTTGGCTGCCGGCCGAGGGAACGCCGTCGTGGGGGTTCCCCAGCCCCGCTCCTTCAGCGCCGCGGAGCCCACCCAAACGAAGGGCCTCCCGTACGACTCCATGAACGCGCTCGTGGCGCAGCTGCTGAGCAACCTGACGTGCGCGATGCGCTTCCCTGGGCCGTTGAATATGGATATCAACGAAATCACGACGAACCTCGTTCCCTACGCCCGGCTGCATCTCTTGAC